TCCATATTAACCCCACCCCTTACCATAAGAAATCCCCAACACCAGATGTGCCCTGTTACGAGCATTCCCAAGGTGGCCACAATGCATCAACCTGTCAGCTCTTTTCCAATATCCTGGATAATGCTTGTCAGTTTTTTACATTTTTAATGTCACTGAGAAGCTCTTTCTCAAACTACTGCAAATGTTTTGGCTTCAGGAGCCATAAAACGTCAAAATAAATACAGATTATTTTGCACACCCTCACAAAAGAGAACGGAGTATATTTTCTAGAAAATACATTCATTTGTATTGCTTTTCCGGAAATGCCATGTAATAAATTCTTCGGAAATAATTTATTCATGTCTGAAATATGTGCTCTGAACACCTTTGCCAAATGTGGAATGAAAATAAAGTATGTGATTAATCTGTCAAGAACTAAGGGAACTGGATATGCCTTAAAAAGATGCAAAACATGGTCCAACATATTTATGGATTCTTTTCAAATCACAGTTTAACAGCTGGTTTATTTATCAAAGCAGCTGAAAATCTGTCCAGAAACAAAAATAAACCAAGTTTTTTAATTTTCTGAAGAAAACTCTTGGTAGCACAAAACTCTCCGTCAGTGTTGCCAGACGTACTGTAATTATCGTATTTGTACGATATTTTTGACCGATGTACGATAATTTCTGAAAATTGTGACACTCCAAATAATTGTCGTTGTAATCATAAGGCTTCTATACTTCTTGATCTAGCTGTAGATCCTACGTCTACCGTCATGATTGTGAGGAGAACGTGGTATTACACGTCTTCCATCTCATCTCACGTTATGTCTTATCGGCCAATCATCGTGGAGAATGACTCTCTCTCACGAGCACAAGTTAACGTTCCTGCCGCGACGCTTAAGTCAGTTGAGGTTCATAATTTAGCAACACAGTAATTTGCAGGTCCTAAAAGTTGTTGGTCTAGAATAGATAAATAGCTGTATTCTGTACGTTTGACTCGTGTACGATAATTTTCTTCCAAATACGATAAATTTGAGCTTCTGGTATGATAATTTGACATTTCCAATCTGGCAACACTACTCTCCGCCATGATGCTAATGTGTTGTTGGTTTGCCAGGACATTGCTATGCAGTTACTAAAGCGTTGAGTTGTTTTTAATGTGTTGCTATGCAGTTGCTAGGGTAATGTGGATGGTTGCTTACTGGACATTTAAAGAACCAACATGCGTCTACGTTCATCATGAGAACCAAAGAATAGCAGCATTGAATTCTACACATTTACATTGACATAGCACAGTTAGCTTTTCATGTCTTCAAAATCAGATAATCAATAAAGGCATGACACTAATGTCTCGAGTTTCTACATTGCAGCAGCAGGACAGATGTCTTTTGGCCTAATGAGCTTTTCATCTTGGTCTACATGATCGGTATCACTCAAACTCAGTCTAAACTATTGGACTTTAAAGGAAAAAGAATGCTTGCTGGAAAGCCTGTATGAGCAAAAAAAAAAAAAAATCAATCTAAAACATTTCTCAGATATTTTTGCTTGAACTACTGACACCATGTGGTTGCAGTAGGACTGACATTTGGGGGCTACATAAAATCTCAAAAATATTTGGCATTGAACTGCCGCAATCTACTTTTCTGTCATTGTCTAACATAAGAAAAAAACAATACACTTGAATCAAGGCACTTAACCTGGACTTTAGCTTATAACACCAAATCGGTATATAGATCAAAACGGATAGTCTCCACTGATTTCCCTCAGATCTGCTTCTGAACTCTTGCACATTATCTGTGTGTGAAATGTAAAGATAACAATGAGATATGAGAAGTTAGATGCTTGACTATCAGAACCTGTGAATAATTCACTGGATTGTTTGAGGTCTGGAAGTATGTGGAATCAACTTCAGTATGCTATTTATAGTTAATCATGAATAATTGATTCATGGTGTGCCGTCTAAAAGGTTACAGATTTTCCCAAGAATTTTTTGGGAGACAACCATCTGAAATTTTTCAGCAGCAGCAAAAAAAATAAATAAATAGTACAAGCTACTTATAGCAGATACATCTTGTTGCAATACACGTGCATGGGTTGGTTGAATTCTTAATTAATGACATAAATGCTAAATGCAATCGTCTGGAGATTTTCTACATGCCAGTAGTTCCAGTGAGGAGTAACTGATAATCAGTTTGTGCTGTGCAGTGATGGCACGAAGGAAAAATTGGACGTGTTGAAGTTCATAAAATATCACAATCATATATAATATAACGCCTTGGGTTGGATTTATTATATTGTGTCTGGTAACTATAACTCCCTGTCATCCTGTCAGTTCAGTGTCAGAGTTTGTTATGCTTGCCTTTCCATGAAACCCATAACAATCACCCCTCAAACCCTTCTCTGGCGTCTACACAAATAAAATTACAGACATTCTAGAGCATTCTGCAGGGCTCAAACTAGCCAGAGGCAACTGTGTGAAACCTGGCCCCTGCAATGGGATGGCAGGTCAGAAACATCAGATCTGGAGTTCAAAATATAAGGAGCTAAGAGTCACAAATTAAATTTGTGTATTCAGACTCAGATGCAAAGGATCATGCATTTCAGCATTATAAATCTAATATTTTGATTTTGTTATTTAAGTATTCCTAGTCCCTAAAAATTGGATGTATGTTTTGACAATATCTGAAAAAATCTGAAAAATAATTGAGGTTAGAATAAAGGCTACTGTGATTAATTTAATCAATATTAATAATTGTGATTACAATGTCAAGGAAAGTATTTTTGTCATAATTGTGCAGTTCTACATTGAATTTAAATGAGCTGAGCAAGCAGAGATGCTGACTCACTAATTTCCACAGCAACAATTTACTACCACAGGATGGCAGCCAAGTGCAGATCAAACTTGGAATATTATCAAAACATCCTGTGGTAATCTACTTTGTGGATAATATGATTATTACTAGAAACATGGTCATGTCTGCAAGAAAAAGGAAAACTCTGGTAGAGCAAGGAAGGCACTAGCAACACCAAAGTCATGGAAAGATGAAATGCCAACCCTTAATGCACTGAAAGTCATTTTGGAAAAATGTGAGCCAAATATGCACAAACGTTAAATGCTTTAAAGTTTCCTGAAACAGTCTCAAAACACTCAAGGTCTACGTATGAAAGAATGGATATGGTTCACCCAGACTATACATCCGCATCCTGCTTTCCACAGTAAAATAAAGATGTCAGTTATTCAGAAGAAAATTCTCCACTTATATAAGAGATTTATGGCACAAAGGAGGAATGTAATAATCTGCTTAATAGTGTCAAAATCTTCCCTACACATGCATGATGCAGATCAGAGGAACTATATGAGATAAGAGCACTGCAGTCTTCCGACCACACCCTTGCCTAATATTGTGCGAGTGTGTATGGTGTGTTACGCACTCACACACAGAACAACTGCTGCATCACACCTATTGCAGCATGGCAGGGTCACATAGGAAACAGACTTACTGCAGGTTACCAGATATAAATATATACACAAGCAGCTTTTTAATGAACAAAAAACACAGCAGACTGTAACATGCCTCTGAATGTGCTTTTCTGAAATAAATGTTCTACTTGAATATACAACCCGCAAGTACAGGACATCCAGAATGCCAGGGGTGTCCCCCCCCCCCCCAAGCCAATAGTTTACAATATCCTGAAAAGGTTTGGTAGTTCTCTATCTAATGACTCACACAAGGAAAAAGCTATTTTTAAGCAAACAGAATACACCAGAAGTCTTTTATACGGAACTTCAACGGCACATCAGACACCTGCCAAGCAAGTAATACTCCTTGTGCATAGTGGACTCTAGGCTTGTGTGTATGATACAAAACACTGTATTTGTCTACGCTAAAACATTTAAGCCCACATGCAAATACAGTTAGCGAAGCCTCTGCCACTTTTTATCCATCTGTAAATATGTTTGAGTGACTGACTATATGGTTAAATGTAAAAGCTAGATATAGAAATTTACATGTAAAAGCAACCGGGGGAATTATAGACAACTTAAAAAGGCTTGCTAGAGAATGTGTCATGTGGTGAAGTTTAAATCATGCTGTCATTTCTGAGTGATTTAAAAAGGTATCAAGGTACATTGTATCACTTTGCATTAAAGAGCATCTTCTACACAGACTGCAATTCAAAAAGTCGCCATGTACTCTGACTAAGGTGAGTTCACATTTACCATTGTTCTGGGAATTTTCACTTGCAAAGTTTAGTAATTGGGAATTTTGCATTGATTTCGCAACGGGTTTAAGATGGTCATGCAGATTTGCTGCAGAAAGATGCTTTGTTTGACAGTGACTTCTGTGTAAATTTAATAGTATTATATTATATTACATTTATTATGCTATTGTTGCAAATTGCAAGTGGCTTTTTGCTGCATCTAAAAAACACAGATGACCTATAATGCTGTTTTATACTTTCAACTTTCTTTGTAGTGTAATGTTGCTGTTTGAGCATGAAAAAGGTCTGCAAAGTTACAAAGCAAAGTCCACTCCAAACTGAGTTATTATCAGTTCGCACTGTTTCTGAATTGTGTTTCTTCCGGGAACGTACACGTCACAATATTCCTCGTTTAAAAAATTCCAGTCCAAGCCATAATCCCCAAAAAAAAAGAGGTGACGCCTGGTTGAGTTGTGGTAGTGGTGTGTTGAAACACACGGTTATGGTAAGGAGTGTGACATTTCCGAAACATGCTCGAAGAGGTTGACATATCACAACATGGTACTGATGACCAATCCGAGTGCATTGCGATTTTCGGAGGGAGGGGCTTCATAGAGACAGGAACTAAACAGAGCATTACTGACAGACTGGGAAAAGAGGTGCTGCAATAAGGTAAAATATGTGGAAGATGTTTTTGAACATTCAAGCATGAAAACCTAGTAGACCCCCAAAAAAGAATCAAGACGAAATCAAGACTCTTTAAAACTAATTAAACTCACATAGTTTCAAGTTTCTTGGCTTAAAATGTCAAAACCATACCTGCAATACGGATGACCGCTCTCTCTGCGGGGTCCAGGACATCTCCGGAGGCAGATTTGGAGCGTTTGACGCGCTGGTGTTTAGGGAGGTTCCAAGGTAAGGTGTCTCCGGGAAAAGGTGAGGAGCACAGGTCACTCGCACTCTCCTCCGATGCAGACCGCTCCAGTATCCGCCGGCGACCCCCTGACATGACCTGGGAACGGTGAGACGGTAAACGTGAGTGTTAGAGGTGATTCAACAATAGTACACAATGCAACAGCAGAGAGCTGACACTCCTCAGGAGGATATAGAGGTTTCAGTTCTACATTTTGGTGCACGTCTTTGGACAACTGCTGGCTGTTTAGGGTCACTGGAAGACACTACAAAGCATATCACAGCATATCATCAGCATGTTTAATATTTATTAATAATATCTTAAGAGACTACACCATAAGTGTGCAATAAATAAATACTTTTGTATATTGCTATTTACAGTATGGAACAGCATTTCAACCTGTGAAAGTAGCTTGTAGTCTGTGAATATAACCAATGTTAATTAAACAAGAAATCAGGAAGTTTCTGCTCGGTTTCCTGAAGAGGGCGGAAAACCTTGTCGGAGACTGATTTGAGGGTAATTGATTACTCACGAGTTACTAAGGCAACATGAAGGTGTTGTTAAGAGCATGTTTCAGTTGCCCCTGAGGAAGAAAATGAATCTCATTATTGTTACTAGTGTCTGAATAGACTTCAGACAGGAGTAAAATGCAGGGCGGTGATTTAGAGAGGTTACAAAGTCAGCTGGCACAACTTCTGTGACCTTTGTTGTCCGAATGTGAAAAGACTGGACCTACATTTTTTATTTAGCTAAATATTTCCGGCACACTCTTCTTCATACACAAGCACAGATTAATACTACCCTTACAAGAATACCATGACAGTATAATGTTACAGTGCTTGTATTAGATGGTAATGCATGTTACTTTAATAGAAACTATACCAGTCAAAAGTTTGGACATACATTTTATTTAATTTATGTTCTACATGATCTTTAAAACATTTGCTTAAATGCTTAAAATGATTGTTTTCTATCTATGCATAAATTTATTTACAAAACTGTAAAGTATTTTTTTTTTTCATAAATAATTTCATTACTATAGCCTTCAAAAGTTTACGGTGAGATTATTTTTTAAAGTAGCCTAAAGGACATTTTCATTCAGCAAGGACTGCATTGCAAATGCATTGAAACATTAAATTGTTAACAAAAATAACGTTACAAAAGATTTATATTTCAAATAAATGCTGTTCTTTTGACCTTTTTTTCAAAAACATTTAAGAAAAACTTATACTGACCCCAAAAATTTTTAAATGTAGGCCTATAAATAAATTAAACACCTACATACACCATTTGTTTTATATAATTTGGACAACTGTTATTCTAGAAAATAATGAGTTTGTGTCTTGTGTGTCCACCACACGTTTGGTAGTGTTTACCACTGAATTATGATATTTAGCCTGACATTATAACACGGACACTGTCATGTTCGACCTACGACCAGAACAAACGCACTACTAACGACTTTTAAACCATCTTATTATACTGACAGAAAACCCTGTCGTTTACGTTTCACGTGCCCTGTAAATGTAACCGTTGTTTTAAAAAATGTCAGCGCGTTGCAGAGGCGCATATCATCGCGCGCAGAAACATTCTCGTCATCATTGCTCAGCAGATTCAACGATGCGGCAAACACACCGAGCATCCTTTAAACAACTGCTTTATAACGGTACCGCGTCTCCTTACATTCAGCTGTTCACCCTCCCCTCTGATCTGTCAAAACGGCAATGTCCTCCACCCCTCATGTAACGCTGCGGTTCAAACGATGCCAAACTTACAGCGTCCCGCCGGCGAATAACGCATATTCAGTGAAGCAGCGCCTGACTGCAAGATGCAGCGATAAGGAGAAATGTACCTGCAGAGTGGAACTTACCGGGGATGAATCCAGCACGAACGCGCCCTAGTTATGAATGTCAAGGGATTTTTTACCGCTGGATGCTCTGGTGTTGTTTGTGGAGATGACGGTGCAAAATGCTGTGGATGATCACTGCTCGAGAGGGGAAAGGTGATCTATGATCTGATCTCCGTGTTCCCCCTGTAGTGCTTCAGTTCCACACAATGGTGGAATGTCACTGGGTGTTTTGCACAATGCAACGATAGATTTTATCTATTTATGTGGGGGAGAGTTTATTGCCTCCCCATGAACAAATGCTCCTCTGTTTGATAAACTATACACAGTTGTGTGACCCAAAGTAATGCACCCTAACTACCCCCTCAAAAGTGACTGAAACATTTGAATAAATAATTTGTAATAGGAATTTGTTAGATATGCTTCGATATCGACTTATTGATGCAGAATGAGTTACAAAAGAAACCTGAAGCATAACTAGTGGTAAAGCATCCCGCAATGGCAAGGTCATGGGTTCGATTCCTAAGGAAATACAATTAAAAAATAATTGATAATTACAGCTTCTATTTTAGGAATCTATGTTTTTTAAAAATCTATTTAATGTTAGTTAAATCAAAAGTGTTACCTTTTATTATATATAGAATGCTTGAACTGATTGCTTGACGAACATTCTAATTATTTTCAGGGAAACGCTCGGCTAAAGTACATAGTTCAGGTTTTTACCGCATTACAGTTCCATATCACTTTGACAAAATGATTTCAGTTTTTGCAAAGGTCCTTACTATGGAAGCTTAAAAAAGGTAATTGTGACTTTTTATCTCACAATTCTGACTTTTTTCTCACAATTGCGAATTTAGAGTTCAGAATTGCGTGATATAAACTCGCAATTGAAAGTTATCAAGTCAGAATGCCTGAGTTTATCTCGCAATTCTAACTTTATAACACGCAATTGCGAGTTTATATCTCAGTTCTGAGAAAAGAAATCAGAATTGTGAGTTTATATCACAATTCTGATTATATCACGCAATTCTGACTTTATAATTCGCAACTACGAGTTTATATCTCGCAATTTGGAGAAAAAAAAGTCAGAATTCCGTGACGTAAACTTAGCCTGGGTTTCCCCATACTGCCTTTGCGCAGCGCGATTTTATTCTGGATAACATGGACCAAATTTTCGCCTCATCTAGGGAACCAATCACAGAAGCAGCAAGACGATGACGACGTCTATGCGACACACCGAAGCAGTTTGTTTATACCTATGGATCAAACATGGCAGCAGACGCAGCCTTAGATATTGTTCTAGGTAGTTTAGAATGCAAATAAATCTCTGACCCATCGTCTTCTTCCTCGTCTAATTTCTTTCGCTCCACATACGTCATCTGGTATAATTGAAATGATTGGCTATGAGCTACGTACAGGCGCATTTGATAGACATTCGTAGCACCCAATAAACGGCTCTGGGCAGTCGTAAGCCATGCCTCAAATACGAGAAAATGAACATGTGGTTCCCAAGGGGGAAGCCTCGCGGGACCCGCCATTGTAGCAGAACTTCACCTGCCGTTAGCATTCCATTGACTCCCATTCATTTTGGCGTCACTTTGACAGCGAATAACTTTACATCTGAGGTGTCCAAAGACTCCATTTGTCCATTATTTATTTCTAAAGAAACACGACAATGTATAAAAGGCTCCATTACCTTGTATCTTACGTTATGGCCCCGTAGAAGCAGTTTTTGTAAAAATAGGCTAACGATTGCGTCATAATGAATCGACTCTCCGTCGCACAGTAGAGAAATTACCGTATAGACAGGAGGAGAAGCTCGCAGGCAATCGGGGGTACATGGAGGCATAAAGTCGAGGGAGAAGCCCAGAGAGAGTCATAAAGTTGATCCTGCTGCTAGCTCATGGACAGCTAATACTCACTCTCTCCGTCTCTGTGAGATTCGGAAGGGAATTATTCAGATTTCACTCGGCACAGCTACTAGAAGACATACAGGTTGCTCACGTGACAGGCTCAGTTTGAGCCTGCGCAGTACGCCTGGCTATCAGCTTTTAACGGGCTTCAATTTTCTCCGTTGAAATCAATGGGGTCGCTGTGTCCATTTCTTTTACTATCTATGGTGGTTCCCATGTCAATGAGACGTGGTCTGGCGTTAGCCAGGCTAACGTAAACTCGCAATTGTGAGATAAAAAGTCGCAAACATCTTAATGTTTTACACTGTGGCGCAAACAAGCTTCCATACCTTACAGACTACAACAGCAAAAGAACCAAAACCCACAAGGACACTGACCAAGCAAATAAATAGTGAACAATTTTGGGACAAAATGACATTTTAATATGTACGGAAAGCACTCTCTTGCTCCTGCTCTCTCTCACTCAAACCAGTCGGACACACACTCTCACAGAACCGCGTTGTCAGTGCTGCTCTGATCTGCTTTTATCAGTATAGTAATAGTTTAACAAGCTACATGACATTTCTCTTTAGCGAGGTAATATCAGTGCTGTCTTTGAAGCAGATAATCTTACAGTTTCGCTATTAGTAGACACTGCTGCCAAACACTGTTGAGAGACACACAAACTCAGAAAATTCACATACTTAATCTCTCTCTCTCTCTCTCTCTCTCTCTCTCTCTCTCTCTCTCTCTCTCTCTCTCTCTCTCTCTCTCTCTCTCAACTGCATTAATAGTCTGCTATCAGGGGCTCAAGCCTCCGTTAATAGCTCTAAAATGACAGTTTGAAATTAGGCGCAAGATTAGATGCGTAAGAAATTAGTCCTACACACAAGAGAATTTTAAAGACAAAAACTTGACAAATGTCTCGAAATACATAATCTGAACATATTGACCTCAGTGCATTATTTTTATAATAATTCAGCGGTGCGTCATCAATTAATTCCTTCGAAACTTACAATGAGCAATACATCTGTTACAGTATTTATTGATCTTTGTTAACTTTAGTTAATCAATGACAGGTGTTAGTTTCATTATCAATATAATCAAATATCTCATTTTATACCATGGTCTGGGTGAATACTCGATTCTGATTGGCTGCAGGGTGTCCGTTAAAAAGTGATAGAGGACACCTAGTAAAGTAGTTCTGGTGAAACTGACTGTTTACCATTCGAAATTAATAAATAAATGCGCTGCCTACAACAGCTGTGAGTAACCATAGCAACAGGCAGTCAAAGTATCCGTTAACAATTTGCTCTATCAAAACAAACATCTAACGTTAGTTAGATATTACATAGCCTACTAATACAACAATGAGCGACTTCGTTATTTCTTTTAACATTTATGGAGAATATGACAACTTTGACGACTGGGATGCTGCTGAAGAAAGAAAAAATTTAAATAAAACGGAGATTGATCTGATTAATTTATTGCGCTCTATAAGCGCAAATCGCTGGAGCGCAGTACTCATTGTTTTTGTTGTTTGATTGTTGTTTGATTAATTGTTTTATGTGTAATAAAAATAAACTTTGTGTTTCATGAAAAAAAAAAAAAAAAAAGAATTTAACCTGAAGGGTTCTACAAGCTGAGCGGACTAAATATCTCCGGTTGCTAAATAAACCATCAGGCAAGTTATTATTTGTAAAAACTAGATTTAGCCTAATAAAAATATAAACTAATGTTTTAAAAATGTTTTATTTGGCAAGTGACCATGGTATAAGCGGGTTAATGCCCTTCGAGGTGTCCATTGTCAGGTTTTAATGGACGACGGCGAGGTGTGAACCGGGCGAGGTGTGAACCGGCCGACGCGCAGCAGAATGCACACCTCGTCGGGCATTAACCCTTACGGAATCTATGGGTCCTTAAATGTTTATGCCACATTACATTAAAAGACCAATTATTTGTGGATCAAACTACATGTCTTTATATGAAATCCTGAATAATTCTTTCACATACATATGCAGCAGCATTAAAAGCATTGGTTTTACAGTTTCTAGCTATCTCATCGCATTTTGCAAGCAAATAACAGAGCTCAGGCTTGACAACATCTTACATAACAGAAGCTTTTATACCACTCAATGGCTTGTAAGAAAAATAAAAGGATAGCTGTTGCCATTAGCATGAGCCAGTTGAGGGAGGGGCTACTATTGAACACAGTGCCAGCTTCAGCCTATTGTGCACAATGAACACTAAAATGAACCCTCTAGTTCACTTCATTAGGGGTACAAATGAGTATTTTACAATGTTTGAAGCTGTTGGGTCAGACAAAATACAGAATGAGCTACTAAACATTTCTTGAATTTCACTTATTGAATTTATCAATTTAGCAGATGCCTTTTTCAAAACTAACAAGACTAACTTCAATGCTTTTACATGACTCATCTTGAATGCACTTTACTCACTCTCCTCAAGCTATCCTAAGGTGTATTTGACACTCTTCTTTCAGACGAATATAACCGGAGTTATATTCAAAAATGTACTGGCTCTTTCAAGCTTTATAATGGCAGTGGTCGGCTGTATATTTTTTTGAAGTCCATCAAAGTGCATCCATCCATGATAAAAGTGCTCCACGTGGCCCCGGGGGTTAATAAAGGCCTTCTGAAGCGAAGCGATGCGTTTTTGTAAGAAATGTTTTATTTTATTGGCTAAAATAACTTGCTTCCGGCAGACGGCCGTACGCATCGATTTACGGCGAAAGAGTAACACTCTTACAAACGTTCCAAACCTGCACGATTTTCATCGCATGTGATGTTTGGAACACAAATGAAGGTATTTTTGATGTAATCTGAGATATTTCTGTCCCTCCATAGTTGCGTAACTACCACTTTTGACGCTTCAAAAAGTTCATAAAAAGATCATAAAACTAATTCATATGAATTGAGCGGTTTAGTCCAAATTTTCTGAAGAGACACGATCGCTTTATATGATGAACAGAATGAATTTAGGCTTGAATTCACATATATACATTCATCAACTTACCCATTACTTGTGGTAAACGGACGCTCAAGCATGATTGCTTGACATATGAGAAACAATAAGGTTCATTCTTGTGTGTTATGCCGCACGTTTGAGCTTCCGCCAGAACCAATGAGTTCTTGCGCATCAAGCATGTACGGTTGAGCTTCTGTTTATGTCTTTATGCAAGTTAATTAATGAAAGTTGTATATTGTGAGGAAAATCTGCACAATTAGCACCATCAGAAAATGATGTTGAAAATGACACTACAATAAAAGCCTAAAGGAATTTTTCTATTGTCTTTCTATTTGACTTAAGCCTGATCTCACCTGGTCAGTAGATGCTGAAATCACGGTTCCAGGTGCGATGGTCACTTTCAGGTGCCGTTTGTTTCTTTTCCTCACTGTTGTAGAGGGCTTCTCTCCTTTCCCTTCCTCCTCCTTCTCATCCTTTCCTTCCTTCTTTTCTTCCTCTTCCTCTGTCTTTTTCCCGTGTCTTTCCTTCTCCTTCTTCTTCTGTTTCTCTTGAGACAGAGGGGTTGCCAGTTTGATCACCCCGACGATCCCCTCATTTAGCAAAGCCGCAGAGACACTCTTGTCTTTCGGCTTCTTCTTCCGCTGAAAAAACAGTGAAATCAGCGTATTCATTCGCACGCTGTAATAAAACCTGCAACAAGAACCACCTTTCAAACTCATGCAGGTAAAACGGACTTTAGATGGATCCAAGTGGTCATATAAGATCATTCGGAAAAGGCAACAAAGGGGTTATCAGTGAGTTTAGAGACTGTTCGGCTATTTCGGACGCCCACTGCCTGGATCACACAAAGGAGTCCTTATTCAACAGGCTGTGAGTGTGATTGAATCTGTCAGGTACACAATTAAAAGGCCATTTCTGTCAGTCAAATCACTTTTTACACAGAAAGCAGGTACAAGAACATCATTCACAGTTTCAAGCCCTGAATCAAGGCTTTTTAATTACCCAATGTCCATTACCAAATGAGATTTTAGTGTTTGTACATAACGTAGCACTTACATTTTGCAGTGATTTAACATACACCCTCACATGACTAAGAAAAGCTACAAAGACTATTCACAGCACTTACATATTGTTGCCCTATTGTTGGTTTGATTGCTTGTATTGTTCTCGTCATTTGTACGCCACTTTGGATAAAGGCACCTGCTAAATAAATGATTAAATGTAAATATCTAGACACATATGGAGTGGACTCACGTCCTCAAACTGAAAACTAAATAGAGCATTAAATTAACACTATTTAAAGACTAAAGGAGGATAATGATAGTCTTGACGTCATAGACAAATGCAAATGCAAGAACCAAAGTGCCGGTTATATTATGGGGCAAAATAATTTATTTCTCCAACATATGAAGTACAGCCACCAAAAAGTATTTGGAAACTTAATTCATAATTAAAAATATATGAACATCGTCATTTTAGATCAAAAAGATCAAACCAAGCAGCATCTGCACACAAATGATGCAAGTTTTCTCAGAACTAACTTTACTTTTCTGAGCCGTTTTGCTTTATTTTTAACCAATAACATTAACGTAATATATAAGCCACTTGTGCGTTTGTTTATTAAAATCTAATTCATACAATATTTCAAGTGTTTAATTCCTTTTTGGTGCCACTGCCATTTCCGAATCAACACAAAAATGCAATAAATTGTATTGGAAAATAATTTAAAAGTTAAAATATTTCTGCAATAATAATAAAAAAAAACTTCAATCCAGGATATTGCGGTATCCAGAATAAATTATTATGACCTTAATTATTTTGACCATCTGCTCCGTAAATTGCACAAATAAATCTAATTCATAAACTTGCCTTTTCTCTCAGGCTGAGAGATAATGACATTTGGATCTGTTTTTCTCTCTGTCCACTTGCGAACAGGGGAGGAAACAGCCTTTTGTTGTCCTATAACAGTGAGCAGAGACAAAGTGTCTCCATTCATGCAGACAGAGCTATCACAGACAAGCTCTGACCGGCAGTCTATCAAACCAGCATGAACGCGACAAACCTGCACCGAACACTGACCCATAGACTCAATAATCTATGCCATATACATCAATTAGTACAAATTTTTTGTAAACCATAAGGAAGAATGCTCAGCTGTTTTTTACTGTGTGCATCCATATATCAAGTAAACTGTGAGGTTCTGAGATGTTTTACTTGCATATCAAATCATTTACCAGCATATTTAACCACAAACAATTCTAGTATTTTGCCACATAATAATTTTTGGATTTCTGAAAAGTTGCTGAAAATGCCATTTAAAATGTCATCAAATTGCTTGTTTTACAATACTGGCCTCTAGAGGCTGCTGGATAAAATGTATGATCACTAGAGATGTTTGGGATGACATACTAGCATGCTAATATTACTAAACAGTAGCCTACAGCATACCCGGCGCTATGGGCGGGCCTTAGGGGGCCGGGCCCCCCTACAGTGCTCCTGTGCTCCATCCAATATGCATTTAATAAATTATTTTTTAAATAATAATAATTTACGTGTAGTATTTATATATTTATTGATGTGTGTATTTAAGTGTAATGTTTGACTCATAAAAAAAAAACACTCGGAAGTTTGACTGATTGTTTACAAAAAAGGAGTTTCCCTAACAGCAGCATCTCGGTAAAGTTATAGCGAAGCAACATGCGCTCGGTTTTGCCTAAGCTAGCTAGCTAGGTTAAATTAATCGTGAAAGTGGAAATTGAAAATATGGATACGAAGGTTTTTCGTTACGCTCGCATGAGGAGGTTTTTCAGGTAATTGGAAAAAGGAATATTTCGCAAAACTGCAATGGAAACAGTTTTTGCGCATTTACAGTCACTTGACTTTGAAGACGCGGTGTGTTTGGGGTCTGTGGACGCAAATAATAATAATAATAATTAACATTTATTAGGCTACATATTTAGAAAGCAATTCGTAAAATGTCATTCATAATGATTTTGACGCATATCCAAGTGTTTGTGCGAGTGTGGAGCGCGCACTGGATGGCAGGGAGGCGCGGGCGCGAACACTTGCATTTCCTATCAACAGTGGAAACAACTTAAAATACTCTATCATTTCTGGCCACACAGAAAATAATAATACATTATTCTCAACTACTTTGATTTGCGTAAACTCAAAATAACAAGAAAAGGTTTTTTTTTTTCATATTAATTTGTGAATATTTTAAATGTTTAATAAAGGGGCAAAAAGTCAAACAAAAATCTGAAAATCCGTCAATAGGCCTATTTATTATTTTGCGCAGCATTTTGGTGCGTAGGCTACAGTTCAAATTTACATTTTGGTGTTCAACTTTGCGTTTTAAAAATACAACAACGGTTCATTTTTCGTTTAGCAAAATTACCTGTTAAAAAAGGAAAAACGAATGGACACAAAAGTGACCCTGACACCGACCATTTGGACAGAATACGAGACAGTTATTTATTAAATTCATAAAAAAGAAACAATAATTACAGGAATAGGCTACTGGATTCTAAACCTCAAAGAAATGCCACAATCAAGACCTCGGAGCAGAAATGAGGGAGAAACACTCAGAAACTCCTTATGTGTGCCGTTCGCAGTATAAGGGTCTTTCCCTGCCATTAATGCTTGGATAACACACCACGTCTCCTTCCATTAATAATAATAATGTCTAGTGCGGTGGCTGCATATAGGCTATAAACCTACCAACGTCCGTTGCCATGATTTTTGGAATGACTTAACGCGGGAGGAAAAAAGGACGTTTTAGTCGCATAACATCGGTTAATGGAAATGCCTTCATTTCGCAATAGTTTTTTATCGACATTTAGAAAAAAATCGCAAAAGTTTTCTATTTTAATTGTAGTTAGGATATTGAAATTGCCGTGAAACTGTTGTAGCAATAGTTGGTTGTTGTCCTATAGAAAAATGTATTATTAGATGTCATAATTAGGCCCCCCCAAGAATATTAAATGCCCGTCCATTGATTTGTTTCTGCCGCCGGCTCTGCAGTACAGTGGTGTAAAGTATCTGAGAAAATGTAATTAGTTACTGCACTTAAGTATATTTATGGCTTCTTTGTACTTTCAGTATCAAATATATTAGCCACTTTTTAACGACTTTACTTGACTACATTTGTAATAAGTCATGCAATTACACATTTTGCATGGCACCTAACTTTTTCTGCAGCAGTTTATTTCTGTTGCAAAAGAGGCAATATCACCATCTACAGGGCATTGAAGGTACTGTATCTTGTGCGTTTTGCCCTTGCCCAAAGCTGTCAACAAGGCTACTTTACATGAATGCGAGTGCATCAGGAAGTTGCTGAATCACAGGTGTTTCATTTATGAGAAGAGGACGTGGCTACAGCCTGTGATGAGGCTGAAAACAGCACATCCAGTGCAAGTAGGCTTTGACTCTAGTAAACCAATATTCTTCCTAATAAGTGTCTTGAAAACTAATGCACTAAAAGGGATAGTTAAAATTCTGTCATTAATTACTCACCCTCATGTCGTTCCAAACCCGTAAGACTTTTGTTCATCTTTGGAACACAAATGAAGATCTTTAGGTGAAATCTGAGAGCTTTCTGTCAATTTGATGCTTCAAAAAGTTCATAGATATCGTAAAACTAATCCATATGAATTGAGCAGTTTAGTCCAAATTTTCTGAAAAGACACGATCGCTTTATATAAACATAAACAGATAAACAGATTGAATTAAGGCTTTTATTTACATATAAACATCCATCAACTGACACATCAGTTGTGGTAAACGGAAGCTCATGCATGTTCGCTTGACATATGAGAACCAATGAGGTTCATTCTTGTGTTACACAGCACGTTTGAGCTTCTGTAAGAACCAATGAGGTTAATTCTCGTGTGTTACGCAGCATGCGTGAGCTTCCACAAGAACCAATGAGGTTCTTTCTCGTGTTACGCAGCACGTTTGAGCTTCTGCAAGAACCAATGAGGTTCATTCTCAAGTTACGCAGCATGTTTGAGCTTCAGCAAGAACCAATGAGGTTCATTCTCAAGTTACGCAGCACGTTTGAGCTTCAGCAAGAACCAATGAGGTTCATTCTAGTGTTACGCAGCACGTTTGAGCTTCAGCAAGAACCAATGAGGTTCTTTCTCGTGTTACGCAGCACGTTTGAGCTTCTGCAAGAACCAATGAGGTTCATTCTAGTGTTACGCAGCATGTGTGAGCTTCAGCAAGAACCAATGAGGTTCATTCTCATGTTACGCAGCATGTTTGAGCTTCAGCAAAAACCAATGAGGTTCATTCTAGTGTTACGCAGCATGTTTGAGCTTCAGCAAGAACCAATGAGGTTCATTCTCATGTTACGCAGCATGTTTGAGCTTCAGCAAGAACCAATGAGGTTCATTCTAGTGTTACGCAGCATGTGTGAGCTTCTGCAAGAACCAATGAGGTTCATTCTCATGTTACGCAGCATGTTTGAGCTTCAGCAAGAACCAATGAGGTTCATTCTAGTGTTACGCAGCATGTTTGAGCTTCAGCAAGAACCAATGAGGTTCATTCTCATGTTACGCAGCATGTTTGAGCTTCAGCAAGAACCAATGAGGTTCATTCTAGTGTTACGCAGCATGTTTGAGCTTCTGCAAGAACCAATGAGGTTCATTCTAGTGTTACGCAGCATGTGTGAGCTTTTGCAAGAACCAATGAGGTTCATTCTAGTGTTACGCAGCATGTGTGAGCTTTTGCAAGAACCAATGAGGTTCATTCTCATGTTACGCAGCATGTTTGAGCTTCAGCAAGAACCAATGAGGTTCATTCTAGTGTTACGCAGCACGTTTGAGCTTCTGCAAGAACCAATGAGGTTCATTCTAGTGTTACGCAGCATGTTTGAGCTTCAGCAAGAACCAATGAGGTTCATTCTAGTGTTACGCAGCACGTTTGAGCTTCTGCAAGAACCAATGAGGTTCATTCTAGTGTTACGCAGCATGTTTGAGCTTCAGCAAGAACCAATGAGGTTCATTCTAGTGTTACGCAGCACGTTTGAGCTTCAGCAAGAACCAATGAGGTTCATTCTAGTGTTACGCAGCACGTTTGAGCTTCTGCAAGAACCAATGAGGTTCATTCTAGTGTTACGCAGCATGTGTGAGCTTCTGCAAGAACCAATGAGGTTCATTCTTGTGTTACGCAGCACGTTTGAGCTTCTGCAAGAACCAATGAGGTTCATTCTAGTGTTACGCAGCATGTTTGAGCTTCAGCAAGAACCAATGAGGTTCATTCTAGTGTTACGCAGCATGTTTGAGCTTCTGCAAGAACCAATGAGGTTCATTCTAGTGTTACGCAGCACGTTTGAGCTTCTGCAAGAACCAATGAGGTTCATTCTAGTGTTACGCAGCATGTTTGAGCTTCAGCAAGAACCAATGAGGTTCATTCTAGTGTTACGCAGCATGTTTGAGCTTCAGCAAGAACCAATGAGGTTCATTCTAGTGTTACGCAGCATGTTTGAGCTTCTGCAAGAACCAATGAGGTTCATTCTAGTGTTACGCAGCATGTTTGAGCTTCTGCAAGAACCAATGAGGTTCATTCTAGTGTTACGCAGCACGTTTGAGCTTCTGCAAGAACCAATGAGGTTCATTCTAGTGTTACGCAGCATGTTTGAGCTTCTGCAAGAACCAATGAGGTTCATTCTAGTGTTACGCAGCACGTTTGAGCTTCAGCAAGAACCAATGAGGTTCATTCTAGTGTTACGCAGAATGTTTGAGCTTCAGCAAGAACCAATGAGGTTCATTCTAGTGTTACGCAGAATGTTTGAGCTTCCGCAAGAACCAATGAGGTTCATTCTAGTGTTACGCAGAATGTTTGAGCTTCAGCAAGAACCAATGAGGTTCATTCTAGTGTTACGCAGCATGTGTGAGCTTTTGCAAGAACCAATGAGGTTCATTCTCATGGTACGCAGCATGTTTGAGCTTCTGCAAGAACCAATGAGGTTCATTCTCATGTTACGCAGAATGTTTGAGCTTCAGCAAGAACCAATGAGGTTCATTCTAGTGTTACGCAGCATGTTTGAGCTTCTGCAAGAACCAATGAGGTTCATTCTAGTGTTACACAGCACGTTTGAGCTTCTGCAAGAACCAATGAGGTTCATTCTAGTGTTACGCAGCATGTTTGAGCTTCTGCAAGAACCAATGAGGTTCATTCTAGTGTTACGCAGCACGTTTGAGCTTCAGCAAGAACCAATGAGGTTCATTCTAGTGTTACGCAGAATGTTTGAGCTTCAGCAAGAACCAATGAGGTTCATTCTAGTGTTACGCAGAATGTTTGAGCTTCCGCAAGAACCAATGAGGTTCATTCTAGTGTTACGCAGAATGTTTGAGCTTCAGCAAGAACCAATGAGGTTCATTCTAGTGTTACGCAGCATGTGTGAGCTTTTGCAAGAACCAATGAGGTTCATTCTCATGGTACGCAGCATGTTTGAGCTTCTGCAAGAACCAATGAGGTTCATTCTCATGTTACGCAGAATGTTTGAGCTTCCGCAAGAACCAATGAGGTTCATTCTAGTGTTACGCAGAATGTTTGAGCTTCAGCAAGAACCAATGAGGTTCATTCTAGTGTTACGCAGCACGTTTGAGCTTCTGCAAGAACCAATGAGGTTCATTCTAGTGTTACGCAGCACGTTTGAGCTTCTGCAAGAACCAATGAGGTTCATTCTAGTGTTACGCAGCATGTTTGAGCTTCAGCAAGAACCAATGAGGTTCATTCTAGTGTTACGCAGAATGTTTGAGCTTCAGCAAGAACCAATGAGGTTCATTCTAGTGTTACGCAGCATGTGTGAGCTTTTGCAAGAACCAATGAGGTTCATTCTAGTGTTACGCAGCATGTTTGAGCTTCAGCAAGAACCAATGAGGTTCATTCTAGTGTTACGCAGCACGTTTGAGCTTCTGCAAGAACCAATGAGGTTCATTCTAGTGTTACGCAGCATGTTTGAGCTTCTGCAAGAACCAATGAGGTTCATTCTCCAGTGAGATTTGTTCTCGCGCGTCAAGCCGGTTCAGTTGAACTTCTGGTTATGTTCGCTGATCAATGAGTATATGTGAATAAAAGCCTAAATTAAATCTGTTTATCATATAAAGCGATCGTATTTTCAGAAAATTTGGACTAAACCGCTTAATTCATATGGATTAGTTTTACGATATCTTTATGAACTTTTTGAAGCATCAAAGTGGTAGTTGTGTAGCTATCAAGGGAGGGACAGAAAGCTCTCAGATTTCATCAAAAAGATCTTAATTTACATTCCGAAGATGAACGAAAGACTTACGGGTTTGGAACGACATGAGGGTGAGTAATAATAAATTAAATATATTAAATAATAAATAAATGAACTTTCCCTTTAATACAAACATCATATCGGCATCATTAATATGGTAATAGACTGATGACGTACCTGGCTCTGGTGTTTTGTCTTTGACTGTTTCTTCATGGCTGAAACAGAAACGCAGTATTAAATCAAATAAAGAAAGCCCCTGTGGAGAAAATTAAACTCTATGAGCTCTGGCCAACTGAAATACTGATTACAAATGAATAATGACAAATGCTTCTCAACCGTGTGGCATGATATTGATTGAAACATTTCAGTACATACACATGAGGAGGTTTGTGTATTTGTATGAACAGTAGGTTAAGTTTGTGTCCAGCTGTCAAAACTCAGAGTAATCACTCAAACAGCAAGTTCTTAGAAAGAAATAGTCAAGTTACATGAACTGATTCTTCACTCTTTCAAGCTCAAATGCATGTCAGACCCTCAATGTTTCTTGGCTTCTACATTTGTGAAAATCTACAGGAATGGGTTTCATTTATTCAAAGAATACATTGCTGACAGTCTTCACTGAAGGCTACAATTATACATCTGATTTAACAACAATTTCTTTGTGGTCTTTCCAAAGTGGGTCTTTTTAAAGCAATTCAGATCTTGGTTTGGAAATAGCCGAAATCTGCAAAGGCTGCCATTGCGTAACATCCCGGGGAACATATAATTTAGGGATAACGCTTGAAAAATAGTAAACCGTGATTTGAGGATTCAGAACGCCCCTTCAGATGACGTCAAGTGAACACATAACTCAACCACTTTACCATCCTGTGCCCACTGAATGCAGCCAGTCATGAAAAACCGGCATTGTTTCCACTGTAAAAACTTTCTTCCTCAAACAGTCTGGAATTCCTACTGATCTGGAAATAGCTGAAGAACATCAGTAAGAACTGATTCCAGATCAGCTGAGTGAGAATAAAAGCAGCTGTATTACCTGAGAGATATCTTTCCAGAGGGGAGGTGGAGCTTTGGTTACCCCAGCAACAGAAGAACAAGCTCCAGACCAGGAGGGTGGCCAAAACCAGCACGATCACCCAGAGCAGCCGGGCCAGAGCCGGGTACTCCAGGGCCCAGTCCTGCAGCGTGTCCATTCTTAGCCCCTTTTTCTCTGTCTACTCCCTCTTTCCTCTCGTCTAGCTCCTGTGGCTGCTTCTCAGTGGCAGATGGGCAACAGCTGTTTAAGGCCACAGCCCACGTCAGCTCTGGAGGAGTGCGTATACGAGTGTGTACGGCACTCGCAACCCTGCCTGGAATATCCAGCAGCCACTCCCAGGGCATAACATCTCTCACTCACACACACCCTCATTTCACTCAGGCTCCGAGACCTGTTGGTTAATGGTAGGTAGGAGACGAGAAATGCACCCGAGGCGGTTTAAAGAGACAACATAGTTCACGCACTAGGAGTGTGTGTACAATCATAGAGGTAGTTAATGTAAACAGTGGCCTCAAAATGTATTTGGACACTTGAGTCACACTTATAAAAAAAGATCTTGAGCGGAAATGATAACATACATCCACTAAAAAAAAGACTTGAGTTCAGTCATTGCTAAAATGGCTGAGAAAAGTGAAGTTAGTTCTGAGAAAAGGTCTCTAGAATCATTTGCACATTTTAAGTGTGACTTCACTTTTTGGCTTACTATATATTCGTAATAAGGCAATTTTGAGGTGTCTTAAACTACTATGTACTTACATTAAAAAAATGAAAGATACAATGTACTTGTATCGCAATTTTTTTTTTGCTGCTATTGAGGTGGGATACGGGTAAGATCAGGGACAGGTTTGGTAGTATGGGTAGAGTTAAAGGGTAAAGGAAGGGGTCAACAGTGTAATTATGGATGTAATTACAAGCAGGTATTTTTAAGTATAATGCAAAAACATGCAAGTACACAATAAGTGCATTGTATCATAACTAAATGTTAATATATAGCTGTTAATAAAAAGTAGGTCCACAATTTATGACAAAACATTGTTCTCTTTCCCATTCAAAACTATATTTGATGATTTTACAGAAAGGTATACATTTACAGTCACCATTTTGATGAATGTACCAAATAGATCAGCTTCCAGGAACAACATGCATTCAGTAAGTACAAAACACACACTTTCCACAAGCATTTTGTCTGGACTTTGGATGAAGTATAAAAAACAACCAAAGGAAAATCTGTTATTTAGAGGAAGCTGGTCATCTGTGAGTCACTACCGGATCTTTCCATCGCGGTTAGCTTCTTTGACAACACACACCCTGTGTTTTAAACCTCTGGCCCAAAATTACCTGGTCACAAAATCAAACACAGATGCCCAACATTCCTAGGTTTCAGCTTGTAAACAGTGCAAAATCAAGAAGGCAACTGGTAATCAATGGTTTGTGGCCGTCTATGGGTGACTAGCCAAACAGTGGTGGAAAAAGGAAAATGTATAGTGCCATATCTAGGAAACTACTGTTTTGATTAATCTCCCCTTGTGTGTGTGTGTGTGTGGCGCTTCAAATGTGAATTTTATTTTGCCTTTGACTTGTGTATTTTGAAGTAGCTCCCCCTCTTTGTTTTTTTTTGTTTTTTTTTTGTTTTTTTTATTTTTTTCTGCTTGGTTAATACTTTTTGTATATTGACAACATTTGTATATTCTCTTTCCCCTACTAGAGTTTTGTATGTTACTTCCTTGTCAAAAAACAAACAAACAAAAAAACAGTGGTGGAAAAGTTAGTCACTGTTGCCACCTAGTGGATAAAACATGAGCTGAAAATTAATAAAGGATTTCATTACAGAACTGATGCTGGGTTCCCACAATTTATGACCAATGAATTTGTGATTTGAAATTACTTTTCACCATCTGTGACCATCGTATACATATACACTACCGTTCAAAAGTTTGGGGTCAGTGAGAATTTTATTTGAATTTTTTGGAGGAAAGAAATCAATACTTTTATTTATCAAGGACAGTAAAGACATTTATAATGTTACAAAAGATTATATTTCAAACAAATGCTGTTCTTTTGAACTTCCTATTCATCAAAGAATCCAAAAAAAAAAAAAACTGTACAACTGACAGACCAACAACTGTTTCAACATAGATAATAATAATAAATGTTTCTTGAGCATCAAATCCTCATATTATACTGATTTGTGAAGGATCATTTGACACTGAAGACACTGACACTGGTGATGCTGAAAATTCAGCTTTGATCACAGGAATAAATTACACTTTACTATATATTCACACAGAAAACAGCTGATTTACACTGGAATAATATTTAATACTATAACTGATTTTTGTTGTATTTTTAATCAAATAAGCACAGCCATGGTTAGCAGAAGAGAATTCTTTTTAAAGTATTTAAAATCGTACCGACCCCAAACTTTTGAACGGTAGTGTATATAAAATTAAAAAAAAAGCTTTAGAACAGTTACTTAAAATTACACAATTGATCAAATATTTGGGGTCCGCAAGTTTTTGTTTTGAAAGCAATTAATCCTTTTATTCAGCAAATATGCATTACATTGATCAAAAGTGACAGTAAAGTCGTGTAACAAAAGCATTCAACTAATACTGTTATTTTTAACCTTCTATTCATCGAATAATATTAAGCATATTAAATATTAAGCAGCACAACAGTTTTTAACATTGATAATAATAAGATATTATTCTTGAGCAGCAAATCAACATATTAGAATGATTTCGGAAGGATCATGTGACACTGAAGACTGGAGTAATGATGCTGAAAATTCAGCTTTGCATCACAGGAATAAATAACATTTTAAAATATATACATTTTAATAATATTAAAATGGAAAACAGTTATTTTAAATTGAAATTATATTTCACAATATTACTGATTTTTTACAGTTTTTGATCAAATAAGTGAGCATAAGACTTTCAAAAAGTTACAAAATCTTACTGGCCCCAAATTTTTTAACAGTATTTACAGAAATGTCCAAGATTATTCATTTGCATAACTTTTCCAGGCCTGAAAGTCACACATTTTAAAAATCCTCTAATATTTCAGTACTTTAGGAACCATGGTGATAGATTGAAAAAAAAAGAGAATTAAAAGTGAAGTGTGTAGTTTCTCCCATCCCAATTTTACTGTCCACAGAAAACTAGCCATTAAAAATGTTGCTGAAGTGTCTCACAAGACAAACACCGGCTTAAACGACTAGACTGGAGCAGGACCTGTTGGACCAAACAATAGTAGAAATAAGGGAGCGTTTGGAAAGCCCAATTATGACAAAATTACACACTTTACCTTTAACCATTAAAGATTTCCGAAGTATATTATAGGATCCTTGAAAATGTGTTCAAAAACACACTTTCATTGTTTATTGTGGTGTTATGATGCTCAACATAAGGAAAAAGAAAAAAAAATGTCCTTTGAGATTACACAGAACTGGAATAATTCATAAAAACTTGCCTGGTAAAATCCTTCCTTCATACAGAATACAGAATTTACAACAGCATCCCGAAACTCCATAGCTTTGTCATGCTGGAAATGTTGACAACAGTCTTTCGTAGAATGATCCTATTATAAAACATGGCTAGATAAAAGATGTTAGTTAAATACTAAGATGAGGTTGAGGAGTATAACAGTAAATCCACTCTTTGCCTTGTGCTTCCGGTCTAATAGAAGCCAGTTTCTTGACCCGCCCAGTTCGGTGTCTAGAAAGATAATGGAGGATCATTAGTTGCATAAAAGATGCAGGATATACAGCAGAAGTTTACTCAAAACAAGTTTGACATAAATATTTAAAATGCTCTGACTCAAGCAATGTCTCCAGAGTGAACAGCAAGCAAAATACAGGACAGCAGAAGATACATGACGTGAATTGCTTTGCTGACATAAAATCCATTATTCAGATATTACGCAGAGCCTGGGCTTTGATTTGGGAGTGTGTGAGATATTCAGGGGAACTGTATGCCAGCTAATGCTGGCTAATGTTCAGTTAAGGAAAAAATGCTTCAACGCTTAAAAGCAAAAGTTTCCCGGCACACTCATTTCGTGACGGTAATGATCCCAATGAGGCCCGTCTGAAGGAAAAACTCATTACTACAACCCGTTTTGTTTGCTTTGAGTCTACCTCGTTCCTGCTGCTGTGACTGATCTTCTTCTCGATGTTCATGGCCAGCATCTGACTGCGGAACGACAGGCTCTTGGTCTTCTCGATCACTTGTTGATACGGCGACACTGCGTTGTTGCCCATCACCACGTGACCCTGAGTAGAAAACACCCATTAGAGAGGAACAGGGTACTGAATAAGACTAAAACAATGCCTTTATAAATTATCAAACAACTTTTCTAAGTAATATAATGAAAGAGTAAAGGCTTCAGGGGATTTGGGGATTAAAAGTCACTTTGGTTTTAAAGTGACTAGCAAAACTTCAGCGAACTATTCTTTTACTAAATAACAGTTCCTATTAGGGGTGTGCAAAATATATCGTCTATGATAATATCGTACTTGTTTTAATGATGTGAAATCTAAAAAAAAAAAGGGAAAAAAAAAAGAGTAAAACACGCCTATGAGTTTTAGTCTTTTAGGCTATATTTATATCATATTACATAGTTAAGCAGTCACACAAAGATTGGCATTTTCCCCCCCAAATATCAGCATAATTGCAAATGCAATATTGATTTTATATAACAGTTTAATAAACAATTAAGTGACGTACATTTTAGACAAAATAGTGCCTGTTTTGGCACAGAGCCACAGCAGAACTGTTTTGCATCTCCGAGAAACACACAGCTGTGTTTCTTTACTGAATGAATCAGTTCATTTGAATGAATCAGTTGAATTATTTAATGATTTGCTCATTAACGGTGACTTGCCGCCACCTAGTTGCAGTTTCACATTTAAAGTATCTTTTCAATTTTAAAATCATTTCATAGATCTTCAATGTTTTTTAAAAACATCAAAACATTATGCATTTGTAACTGCAGGTTAAATGCATTCATGTCCATTCATGTCCTCTGAGCAGCATTAAACAGTCTGCATTGCAAAGATGGATTTGGTTGATGCTGATTTCATGAGCACTAAAAAATAATGTGTTGGCTCAACAAAAAAAAAATGAACGCAACAGTTTGCATACATTTTTTGGGGGTTATTATGACAACTGAGTGAATTTACATTTAACCAACAAGCTACATCGAGTTAGAGGGACTTAATGTAATTTGTAGCATCAACAAAATTTTAACTTGATTAAGCCAGCCCTGGAACCAATTAATCTTATCCATTTCAGTTCAAATCAACAGCTATCATAGCACATGCTAACATAACTTATTTTAACATGTATATTTAATGAATAACTAAGATATTACTTGTCACTGGCATTAGCGCAGTCACTGCTTATAGAGTCAATGTAGTGCACAATGGTAACCACTAAAACTTCAACATGACAGAAAATCTTTTAAATGTCAAACATAAGTTCCCTTTCATGTCGGTCACTCCAACGTTCATCGGAGGGATCCGACAGAAATGGGATCTTCGCAGAGAGACCAATCTACTTCGAGAGAAACTAAACGAGCCAATGCACATTGGCATGCGATAATTGCGCCAGCTGCTTCTATCATGCAGTGCGGGTATATAATGAGTAGGAGGTGCAACGCATCTTTGCATTTCACTTCGGAGCCGAACTGATTTATGTTCTGTTCCAGCAGTCTTACTTCTAAAGAAGAGACAACTTTTCGAGTGTTCTTTTTGGAAAGAAGCCTTCTCCTTCGTGTTGGTGTCACGGCAGGATCACCTATAAAAAAAATAAAAAATTTAAATAAAAAAAACAGCTGTTTTCACAGCTCTTAGCGTGGCGGTTCGGTTGTGTGCCTCAGCGGATTGCACTATTTCCCACTGTTGGCCGCGGACATCCCCCTGTGCGCTTCAGCACAAGAGAGAGCAAATTTTCCTAAAAGAGCTTACACGAGTGTGACATTCCACTCGTGTGTCCACTCGTGCGCCCACGATCACTGTCTCACATGCCTGGGCTTAAGCATGCTGAAACTGCATTAGTGGGTGATTCATGTTCTCCTGAGAGAACATGACGAACAGCACCACGTTGGCATGTTGTTCGTCTTGCCTTTCTCATAAGGGCATGAGCGTTCAGCGCACCGTGTGCCGTCGAGTTTGACGGCCACGTTCACGGTCTCGCATGCCTGACAGCTTACGGATGGGATTGCTGGTCCTTCTCATGGGGGACCTAGCGTTTCATTCGGGGCTCCAGCTGAGGACAGATGTCGACCGCTGCATCGGAGAGAGGGCTGTTATACTTTGGAAATGATGATGCTAAGCTTGAGTCAGATTCAGACTTGACAGCCATGCTTTCCAGGGTCACTCTGGGAGCGCAACGCGTAAATCGCCTTGCCCGCCTCCGTGCTGTTTTCCTGGATGTGCGTGAAGAACTTTGGCAGTATGGAAGCATATTGACGCCAATATGGCAAGCCAAACATGCCTAAATCTGCAGAAAAAGTTTTTTTTCTCTCTCACTACCCACGGTGGTAGGGTGGCAGTGCTACGCGCAGGCCGCCTCTACCCTGCATGTGATGGCCACCCTGAAACTATGAAAGGCCAAAACACTCATAATGCAGGAGGGTAGTTCTGAGCCGGGGTTGAGCTGCGCATGTTTTGCATGTTGACTGAGATTAAGTCAAAGCGTTGGCCCTCGGCCAGACGATGTCCACCCTGGTGGTCCAGAAGCGCCCCCTGGCCAAACCTTGCAGAGGTGCGAGATATCGCCAAGTGTGCCTTCTCGATGCTCTCATCTCACAAGGTGGCCTTTTCGGACTGGGCCCAGCAGTTCTCCGTAGTTCAGAAGCAGGCTGAGGCAATCAAGAGCTTGCCCATTTGTGCTTCAAGAGCACTCGTGGGCTGCCCCTCCGTCTGCTCGTCGCCAAGGGCATCGTTCCTCAAGAAAAAGGAGGACTCTACCACAGCCAGCTCTACTATGACGTTAAGCCTCACAGGGAAACGACGCCGTTCGTCTCAGCCGCCGAGGTCAGTGAAAAATCACCTCTGAGACGGGCGACCATACCCGTCAACATCTAAAGAGGGAGTTTCTCATGTTTCTGTTTTTATTCATTTTTGATCGATTGCACTAGATTAATCACACTTTTTTTTCTGTGATTAATCACGATGAATCGCCATTAAAAAAACCTAACGTTTTTTAATATATTTTACAATGTAATAATTTCACAGTCAATCTCCAAATTAATGTAGAAACAACGTAAAGACAGTATATTTTAAATATTTGTCTTACAGAAATATACAGAAATTGAATAAAGTTATCAAACAGTTTGGACTGCAAACATTTAAATTTAAATTATATATAGATTAATCCTTATTAAAGTTACAAAAGTTTTTTTAGTCAAGATCAGTAAGTGTTTTTCTCTGTTCCCTTTGATCTTTCATTAACTTTACTGACAGAAAGCTTTAGTGGCTACTGTCCCTTTAAAACCAGCCGCTGCTGACAGAGAAGAGGATCTCACACGCGCCTCAATCTCTCACAACTCTCTAAAAAGTTCTTTTAAAACTTTT